CTTTTTAAAACTGGACTGGTTAGGCCGATGAAGATATATCCACAATTCCACTGACTATATTCTGTTCAACCCATAATCAAATCAATTATTAATATTAATACCTTACCAAAAAAATCAATTATTAATAAATTTAATTAAAATATTTTAATTCTTTAAATTAGAACGAAGTAATCATTCATATTCAACATAATAATTATTAAATCCAAAAATGCAAGAAAGAATGACAGTGAAATCCAAAAACATAAACTCATGATAATTAGGTTTCAATTTTCTTTTTGAAATATATTGAAAACATCTATCAAAATAATTATAAATTCAAAAATTTCAATTCCAAACAAATATTTAAGCATTAAATATAGTTTTTATATATAATAAAACTTTTTATTTACAATTATTTAAATTATATTTACAATTTATTATTTTAAATTTTTTTGAGATATAACTGTCATTTTTTTAACAAAAAATGCATGATAAAAATAAAATATTAATCAATATTCTATAATATTAATAAAAAATTAAGGGGAGAATGATAAGTAATGACCTCAAAATAAGAGTACTATCAAGTTAAATTTTTTAAAAATTTTACTAATGAAAAATAACAAAATACTACTCCTTCCGTTAAGAAATATAAAGCATTTTTGAGAAGTTATATGTTTAAAAAATATGAACTATTTTTAGTCTTTTGAGGTGTAATTACTGTTCTTTTAAAAGTACCCTTATTAATGAATAATTTTTATATTTACTGTAAGGTATTTAATAGGGATAAATATGAAAAATAATATTAGTTTAAAAATAGAAAATATTCTATTGAGAGGTAAAATTTAGTCAAAAATGTCTTATATTTTTTAATGGAGGGAGTGTTAAATTTAAAAATTTTATTTTCAAGGTGATTTTGACTTGAAATTAATATTTTTATAAGTATTATTTTTTATTAATATTAGACTACACAGTATTAATAGATATGAATTAATTGTGAATGAATTTTTACTTGACATTAATATTTTTATAAATACTATATTACGCTACATTATGTTAATAAACAGGAATATATCAATGTTCTATATAATTAATTATATAGTACTGAATCTTTTCTATTTTTTTTTATCTCTTATTATATTACATTTATGAAAAATAATATCTTTCTCAAAGACATTATTTGCTACTCACCGTATTTCAATATCCAAGGGGTCGCCCCCTTTTGCCTTTAAAAGGTCCACTTTCATCGCCTTTTTTCCACAGCTACTGTCTTGATCTTCTTCCTGTTTCTCAAAAACATCACGGCAAAATGGGTTGTCTAGATCGTCGAAGGCCATGATCCTACTGTTGTTCACGGTCTTCACTGCGTCTTCGGCCTTGGATATGTCCATAATCTCATACGACCGAATCCACCCCGATAAGTCAACATGGAGGACGGACGACGAGGTCATGGCAATATACGAGCACTGGCTTGTGGAACATGGCAAGGTCTACAATGCTCTGGGCGAGAAGGAGAAGAGGTTTGAGATTTTCAAGGATAATCTGAGGTTCATCGATGAGCACAACGCTGAGAATCGGACCTACAAAGTTGGGTTGAACCGATTCGCCGATCTTACCAACGAGGAGTACAGGCCAAGTACCTGGGAACCACGATCGATCCCCAGAGGAGGATTGCCAAGACGAGGAGCAACCGTTACGCTCCACAGGTCGGCGACAAATTGCCGGAATCTATTGATTGGCGGAAGGAAGGTGCGGTCGTCCAAGTCAAAGATCAAGGAAGTTGCGGTAAGTCCGTATTTGTTTTATTCTTAATGAAATTTAACTTTTCCTGATTAAATTTATTTATTTATTTTTTGGTCTTTTCCTTTTGAATGATCTAGCGGTCACTCCCTAATCTTGGATACAATCAAAAGCCGGCACTTGCTATGTTAGGATCATTAATCCTTGATATCTTGTAAGAGAATTCTTTAGGACTTGTCTCTTCGATCACAGACTGGAATAGTTCATGGTTGAAGAACAATAAACAAAAATCCTGGAAAATTAAAAAACGAGAGAATTTGTTACACTGGCAAAACTGTATGTTTGGTCCCTAAGAGAATACTATTTTCTCAACTTGATCTTTCATTGCTAAAACAAGTCAGTTAAGTCTGATATATGATCACTCTATTCTCAAGCTGATCCTTCAAAACAAAGCTACTCCATTTACTCTGAAAATTTTATTCTGGTCAGTATAGCCGTTCTTCTGTCGAAAAATAGGATCTCATTATAGCTGGATTGTAGCACTTTAAATATTTATTGGAGGGACCTTTGCTAGTTCTCTGAGATAACCACTCTTATTCTTGGTAATCTTAACTTCCGGAGATTAGATAAAGGTGATTGAGTAACTACTATATTTTGATCATTTTATACAGAATAATTCATGGAAGGAAAAATCATTTACCCACACCCAATGTTAGTCAATAATATGATTTCTGTTTTCTCCTATTTGTAAATAGCAACTTTATGATTACCGCATTTTCGTTGCTATTTCACAATGTTTGAATTATCCTTTTGTATTGATATGCTTTTAAACAAGAAGATTGCTTAATCATGGTGCCCAAAGAACTATCATGCATAGCGAATTTTATATATGCGGAGGATTGCTAGTAAGTCATTGATTTAATCTTGAGTGAAGGGAGTTGCTGGGCATTCTCAACCGTAGCTGCAGTGGAAGGAATAAATAAGCTAGTGACAGGCGATCTAATTTCACTGTCCGAGCAAGAACTGGTGGATTGTGATACAAAATATAACGAAGGGTGCAATGGGGGATTAATGGACTATGCCTTTGAGTTCATCATCAACAATGGTGGCATTGACACTGAAGAGGATTATCCCTACCGTGCTGTTGATGGCCAATGCGACCAATATAGGGTCAGTCTACATTCTGTTATTATCTGGGACAGAAAATTGTTACCCCTCTAATACTTAATGTGTTGCTGACATTTCTACAGAAAAATGCAAAAGTTGTGGCAATTGATGGTTATGAAGATGTTCCTGTCAATGATGAGAAAGCATTGAAAAAAGCTGTTGCAAATCAACCAGTGAGCGTTGCAATTGAAGCAGGTGGCAGGGAATTTCAGTTATATGTATCTGTAAGTTTCTCAATTGATTCATTTCTCAAGCTTTTAGGAATATTCAAAGCATGCTTCATATATAGACGCATTGTCCGTTATGGTCACTCTAATTATGACGAATGATTTGATCTGCCCATCCTTTGAGGAATTAGCTACATCCTACACGACATCACAAAGTCATTCTGAGGCTATTATAAAGAATCCTTTAATTAAGAGATCTTTTGGGATAATTTCTTCTTGCTGTCCAGTTAGTACCTGCGCAATCTTATTAGGCTTTGCTCCATTTGGTCAGGGTATATTTACGGGAAGATGTGGTACGGCATTAGATCATGGTGTTACGGCTGTTGGTTATGGCACGGAAAATGGTGTGGATTATTGGATTGTGAAGAACTCCTGGGGATCAAGCTGGGGTGAGGAAGGGTATGTTAGAATGGAGCGTAATGTGGGCACAACCAATACGGGCAAGTGTGGCATTGCGATGGAAGCCTCCTATCCTACAAAGAAAGGCCTAAATCCCCAAACCCTGGACCGTCTCCTCCCTCACCGGTGAAGCCACCCACTGTTTGTGATAGTTACTACAGCTGTCCCGAGAGCACTACATGCTGCTGCGTGTATGAGTATGGAAAGTATTGCTTTGCCTGGGGATGCTGCCCTCTGGAGGCTGCCACCTGCTGTGAAGACCACTACAGTTGCTGCCCTCACACGACTATCCCATCTGCAACATTGACGCCGGCACCTGTCTTATGGTAACACAACCGAAAGTTCTTCAGTCGTATTATTATTGGCTACTACTGGATTCTTTTTGTTCACGTTGATGATATATATCTTAACTGACATTCTCTGTACTGCAGAGCAAGGACAACCCGTTTGGGGTGAAGGCGATGAAGCGCACTCCAGCTAAACCCTATTGGGCATATAGAAAGAAGAGCAAGACAAGCACTGCTTGAGCCGACGGATGAATGATGAAGGAGTGGATGACCTAGTCAAAGGAGGATGGAGGAGCGTATTACATATTCTTTTCCTTTAGATTCATCATACTGCCCATTAGACGGTCATTTCGGACATTTAGATACCAATTGATGAATGCTTTGTCAAATTTCAGGATGTAACTTCCTGGTGTAAATAGCGTTCTATTTACGGGTTGCATTGCTTTCCAACAAACATATTGGTTGTCGTGACTTTCGAACTTAAGTAGATTCTGTGATCAAGTACCGATGGTGGATGAATTTCTTTTCTGCTCATATCCTATTTTTTTTCTCTGGTTATAGGCTATAGCGTCGTATAAGTTTCAACGAAAGAAAGCCTCAACCTTCTCAGGTTTAATTGTGCCGTCAATTTAGCAAGCGACTCAATTGTTATGCCCCCCTTAATCGAGGAAGGAAATAATGTGGAAGAAGATATTGGCTATATTACGTTGTTTGCAGATATCTTTTGTTCAGTGGTCTGCATGTGGATGAATAGGAATTAGATGCCCTGAATTGTGTACGTAGTATTTTAGACGAAGGGTAGAGACAAGGAGATGAAGAATTACTTGTTTCCTCTCCTTCTCATTTTTTTCTTTCATTTTCGACCTCACTAAACGCTTGGATGAGTGATCCCGATGCTGAAAATCAAATGCTCTTCCAGTTCTTATTTAACCATGTAAAACTCATTTCTATGTCTCTTTACTTAATATGGCTGGAGAGGAGTCTCTTCAATTATTTTTTTCCTGAAGACAAACAGTGCCAAGTTAGATGAGAAAGTGGACTGTAGATAACGTCAAGCGCTAAAAAGACAAATTTAAATATAGAATAGGTGAACAAGAATCACGTCGTTTCTTTCAAATGATATCTTAAATTCTTAATGGAGTTTGAAATTAAGGAAGTGGGCGCACAAGAATACCTATTCTTATGCTCCGGTTGTCTTAGAAACATGGTAGTTGTGTGTGGGGGACCAGGGAGGGGCGAAGAACTAATTGTCGCCCCAGACAACTTGATTCAGAATTCAATTATGTTCGTTTCATTTCGTTTTCGTCACCCAGCCCACATGACGGACGCCCCCCTTTTCAGAGTGATGGATCATGGTGTCCAGCCCCACCATGCCAGCCAGCTCGTGCTCGAAGAAGATTTTCTTTGAGCCAATATCTCTTCGCGATCATAATTCATTGAATCCATGATAATTACCTTACTTGGGCATTAACAAGTTTTTTGAGATTTTTGGATTTCACCTGTAATTGTAAAGCTTTCCTAAATTCCCAACCATGCGCCCCTCCTCCCTTTAATTAAGAGGAAAAAGAAAAGAAAATTCTGTTTCAAATTATTAGCTTGAAGGCAGCACCGAATATTTTCTCCGCGAAAAAGATGGGCGAAAATTTGTACACAGA